ATTACGCTTCCAGCTCGCTCTAGTTTACAATAAAGTGAGCAGCTGAGCAGCTGCTCCCACAGAGCACTCACTCCACCGAGCAAGTCGCTCTACAGAACAGACAGAGCTCGCACTCCACAGGTAGAACGAGGGCAGGGGAGGAAGGAAGCCGGCTCCTCTCCAGGCTCCTGAGGCCACCAGCCGGGGCCCAGGGAGGCTCCCTGCCTGCCTGCTCACCCTGCACTGGTGTCACCCCCAGTCCCCACAGCCCAGTCCCCACGGCGACCCAATCCCTACAGCCCAGCATGGCCCCTGCCTCCCAGCTCCGTAGGCCTGTGCTCCCGGAAGTCCTGCGCGTCCAAGCACCTGTCTAATCCCTGCCTCACACCCCAGCGACCCGAGCTCACCAACATCACAACACCCAGTCCTACTTCAGGACCCAGAGCCGCCCACCCACCTCTGAGTCAGGGCTCCCTCGGGTCCTCCCGCCCTGCCCAGCAAGGCAGCCTGTGCTGGGAGTGCACGAGGTCTGGGGGCCAGGCTGTCCCCGCTCCTGGACGGCCCCCACTGGGTGTCAGGAGCAGAAGGCAGAGTCCCTTTGGAATGCGCCCCAGGACATGGTCTGAGGGCCACAACCTGGGGGATGGCATGTTCCTTGTTGCACGTGTCCCAGGACCTGAGTTTGTGACACAGCGTCACTGACTCGAGTGATTTTTGTTAGAATAGTAAACTAAATCAAACACAAAAGTGCCCTTACACATAACCCACACTCACAGTCAAAAGCAGCCCAGGAGCAGAGGAGCAAAAGGCTGTATGAGATTTCCATCAAGGGGAGGGCCTGGTCTGACTCGTAAAGGAAACACCTCCTCCTGCCCAGCCTGTCAGAGCCTGCCAAGATGCACCCTCCCCTCTGTGCCTGTCTGGTGGGGAGGGGGTACCAGAGAGTCTAGTTGTCCCACTGTCCCTCGAGCCCCAGAGTAGCCCAAGCCTGACCTGGCCTGGGGCTACGCAGCAGCCATGGAGACCACAGAATCCAGGAAATGGCCTCAATGTCAAAGTCCCAAGACTCAGCCACACACAAGGACGCTGCTGGCCTGATGGTGGCCAGGCTCACCTGCTGGGCCCACAAGGCCTCTGAGCAACCCCAGCAAGCACTGCTGCGCTGGGGACTCAGGTTTCCCGAGGCTGTGCCAGGTCAGACCTCGAGCGGACTGCCAGCCTCACTGTCCCAGATGGCCCAGCTTAGCACAAGTGGGAGGTCCCCTCGCCTGGGGCGGCCACCATCAAGGCCTGGAAGGAGGTGCTGACCCAGGCTGCTCCCCAACGGCAGATGACCTGGGCTGCTCCCAAGAACACAAGTGCTATGTAGCTCAGTAGGGTCAGAGGCCCAACATCCAGGAACCTCAGGGCAGGGACAGACAGACGGAATGAAGTTCCATGGTCCCCAGTGAACCTTGACCTCTGCCCTGTCACAGGGATCCTGGAGGGGTGCGCCGAGGGAAGCCTGTCTGCAGACCCCAGCTGACAGATCTATGGGTGTCTCTGTCCCTCCCATCCCACTTTCCACCATGCCAACTAGGGGACACCCCCCTTCCTTCCCCGACAGCCCCTGACCTCCGGCCCTCCCTGAGCCCCACCCTGCACAAGGGATGCAGCAGACCCCAGCCTGACAGGGCCCGGTGGGACTCCGGAGAGGGATGGCCTTGGGCCAGGCCCGCCGCCGGCCCCTCGGTCTCCGGGCTCGGGCGGGCGCTCGGCCCGCGGGTCCCCCGCCGAGCCCGCCGCACGCAGGTGCCGGCCCGCGGCCGCCCTCAGGCCGACTGACCCGAAGTCCTGGTCCATGGACTTGAAGAAGAATTTGTAGGCGTGCACAGGCCGGTTGCTGAGCACGTTCTTGAAGTCGGCCAGCGTGACGCGCTCGGGGGCCACGGGCAGCTTGACCAGGTACGGCGTCTCCTCCTCGTCCATGTGGTAGATGATCTTGGTCTCCGCCATGGCGGCGGCGCCCAGCCCGCGCGCTCAGGCCCGGCCCGGGGCTCGACGCGGGGCCGCCCGCCGCCCGGCCCCGGCCCTCGCCCGGCTGCCGCCCCGGCCCGCGGCCGCTCCGCCCCGCGCGGGGGCGCGAGGGACGCAGCACGGAGGGCGCTCGTGGCCGCCCGTGGCCGCCCCTGGCCGCCCGCCCCGCCGCAGCCCGCGCCCCCTCGGGCCGCGCAGTTAAAGGGACGCCGGCCGGGCCTGAGCGCGCGGCCCACCGGGGGGCGCCCGAGAGCGGACGGGGCGGGGCTGACGTCACGGGGCGCGCAGGGGGCGGGGCGGCGCAGGGGCGGAGTTGCGCACGCGCGCGAGGCTGTTGTCGCCGTTGGGCGGGGCTGCGCACGCGCGCTGGGTGGTGCGGCCCGGCGACGTCCGCCCCGCAGGCTCCCGGCGCCGGATCCCTGGCCCTGGCGCAGACCTGCCTGGAGGGCGCGCGAGGCGGCCGCCACACACGCACTGGCCGGGGTCCCACGCGGGCCTGGGCCCTCGGGCCGTGGACGGACTGGGGCGGCGGAGGGACCCAGGAAGCCCCGCCCCCTTCGCGTGGCGCCCGCCGGAAGGGAGGCCGCCTGGGTCACGCCGCGGACGGATGTCGCTGGGTGGGGTTCGCGTTCGCCGCGCTCCGCTGGGACTCCGAGCTCGGGGGTCACATTGGCGGGCTGCGGGGTCACAGCAGGAAGTTGGGGACACCCGTGTCCGGACCCCGAGCCGGGAACACTGGGCCACTTTGTGTCCTGCGGTGGCGCCCAGCTCGTGCGCTCTCTCGGGCCAAGTGAATACGGGTACATGCCGGTGTGCACAGAGGTGTCCAGGCACGGCAGAGGCTCAAGGTGTTTTGTCCCAGCCGTAAACCCAACCGGCCTGGGGCCCTCCGTAGGGCAAGGAGACCCCAGCAGCAGCCCTCAGGTACGAAGGGCCAGCCACTTGCTGCTCCCGGCCCCACTCCTGGAGGAAGAGCTGGGGCCACTAGAGCAAGTCCCAGGCTGCGAAAGTGAGGGGGCTGTAGGATGGGGAGATGGGGTGCGTGACGACCCTGTGTGTCAGCCCCAGCCCTGAGTGGAGGATCCAGAGGTTACACAGAAGTCATCCCGGGCCGAGGGTCCTGACCCCATCCCTCTCAGTGTTCTGTTGAGGATGGCCAGCACCCACTCAGCAACCCCTCTGCCAGTTCGTCTACCCACTTTCTCCTCCCAGGCCTTGGTTTCCCCAGAGGTCACCTGAGGAAGCCAGGCAGGGATACCTTAGAGGGTTTTCTGCTGGGGTCCTGGGAAGGAGGATGACAGCCCCTGCCCTGAGAGCTCACCAGGCAGACCTGCATGCCCCAGGCCAGGTACAAACCAGAGGATAAACTGGTACAGCTCATTCGTGAAGGGGTATGAATCCCAGCTGCCCTCAGGCTCCCACCTGATGCTCAGCCCTAGTCTGAGAGAGGCTGGCAGCCAGAGGCCTGAGGCCAATCCCCTGGTGAGGTTAGGCTGGAGCCCTGCCAGGAGGGGTGGGTTTGTGGTCAGAGCTTGAGCCCTTACAGGAAGGCCCTTTTCCAGTGACAACGGGGCCAGAGGTCGTTGGACTGGGAGGTGATGCATCCTCCAGCAAGCCACATCTCTGTGAGCCACACCTCCCCAGACCAGCCTCCTGCCCCACCTTTGCTGCTATGGGGTCCTTGTGAGTGACTGCTACCCTTTCTTGCCCCTACTATCCTGGGAGGATCTGAAGCATAGGGTCAGGGGTGGGGTAATGCTCCCCTAAGCAGACCTGAGTCACTGGTCCGTGCAGCCAAGAGCCTTCCTCCCTCCATTGTTCCCCACCTGCAAATCTGACCCTCCATCTGTGCTGAGCCCATGCAGCCTGATCAGCCAACGACTGAGAAGGAAAGGATTCCAGTGCTGGACCCTGTGGTAGCCTGGCCAGGACTGACTTGGAGCTGCCCTGCAGTCTGGGCCATTCTGCCAGAGCCTCTCTCCTTCCATGCTGTCTCAGCGTCAGGCCTGCACCCCAGGCTGAAGCATTTTGCTAGTCAGGTTTCCCTTCTCCCCACCTGGTGCCTGCCTCCTAGAGGCCTGGACTACACAGCTTCTCCTCTCTGTCCTCAGCCACCAGCTTGTTTCCCTCCCCCGTGTCCACATAACCCTCAGAAGATCAGCTCAGCACTTTGCAAGGCCAAGGTGGGAGGATTGCTTGAGCCCAGGAGTTCAAGACCAGTCTGGGCAACATAGCAAGACACCATCTCTTAAAAAAAGAATCAGAGGGTCGGGCGCGGTGGCTCACACCTGTAATCCTAGCACACTGGGAGGCTGAGGTGGGAGGATTGATCAAGGTCAGGAGTTGGAAACCAGCCTGAGCAAGGGCGAGACCCTATCTCTACTAAAAATAGAAAGAAATTAATTGGCCAACTAAAAATATATAGAAAAAATTAGCCGGGCATGGTGATACATGCCTGTAGTCCCAGCTACTCGGGAGGCTGAGGCAGGAGGATTGCCTGAGCCCAGGAGTTTGAGGTTGCTGTGAGCTAGGCTGACACCACGGCACTCACTCTAGCCTGGGCAACAAAGCGAGACTCTGTCTCAATAAATAAATAAATAAATCATCCGAGCATGGTGGTTCGCACCTGTAGTCCTACTCAGGAGACTGAGGCAGGATTGCTTGAGCCTGCGAGTTCAAGGCTGCAGTGAGCTTTGATGGCACCACTGCACTCCACTGTGAGCTATGGAGTGAGACCCATATCTAAATAAATAAATAAAATTTTAAAAAAGAAGAGGATCTAAAACTCCTTCACAACCAGGAGTACGCAACACAGAATTGGCTCAATGTTCCCTACCCAGAACACTTGCCCCTAGGAAGACTCAGACCCAGACTTTCCACTCAAGGGAAGGGGTGATGGCAGTGGAACTTCAGATGAAGGTGAGGAAAGCATGTGAGGGTTCCCAGAGCCTAGATTCAGCCCTCTCCCGGGGAGGCAGGGGGAGATTGAGAGGCACACCTGGGGCTAAGTCTAAAAATCAGATGTGGCCTTTATTGTGATGGTAGCAATTACACCAGCAGGAGCAAATGTGGGGTGTCAGGAGTGGCAGCACAGGCTACCCTGGAACTGTCTTCACCCCTTCCCCTGTCCTCAGCCAATACAGAAGCCAAATGTGGCCCCAGCCCCAACTCCAGCTCAGGGAGGAGCCAAGGGAAGGGTGTCAGGGTCAAAAGTCACATGGAGCCCAGTGACTGTCAGGACAGCTTGTTGAGAACACAGATGGAGCAGGAGTGGAAAGCAGAGAGAGGGCCATGGGGCAGCCCCCGGGGCCCAAAGCAACACAGGAGCCTTAGCCTGGGTCCCGGAGTTCATTGATGCTCAGGTCCCCGTTCAGAGCAGAGTGTGGGCTGGGGGCTCAGAGTAATGCACAATGCAGTTGGGGAGGGCTTGGGAGCTCAGTGGCAGCAGGCAGCTCCCTGGAGGAGTGGGGGGGGGTGCCAGCCCTCAGGCTGACCCCAGCTCCCCCCAGTCTCCTGTTCTGACAGAGCCCCCTCCAAGAATGTCTTCCTGCCCCAGCCCCCAGGGCCATCACAGAGGCTGTGCGGCAGAGCCACCAGTGATCTGGGCGGGGCGGTGGCTGCACTGCTGCAGAGTCCCTGAGAGGGGGACATGGAGGTGGCCTCTGCGCCTGGCCAAGTTCCAGAAAAGCGGGACCAGCCGCTGGAAGGGGGCTAGGTGAGCTGCATGAGGGTCAGGAGATGTCCCCCGAGGCAGACAGACAGGAGTTGACAGAGCTGCTGGCCCAGCCAGAAGCCCAGGGTCACTTTATTTGCAGTACTCCTTCCTGAACTCTGGAAGCCAAGAGAACAGGCTGGCATCTGTCCTATGACTTCTCAACCCAGGGGGAGACTCAGGGCAGATGCCCCACAGGACTTCCAGCAGCTTGGGAGCCAAGGTGTGTGTGTGGGCTTCTGCCCATGGGGCTGGCTGGTGCCTGCCTTCGGGGCTCATGGGAGTGGGCAGAGTGGGACATGGCAGGGGTCCGGGGTGGGCTGAGCACGTGCCCCCCCAGCCACTCACCTTTGTCCAAGTCGATGTTCTTGGCAGGTGGGAGGCTGTGTGCCAGCCCAGCCCTCTCCTTCAGGATGTTGTTTTTGAAATCTGGTGCCGGGAGAGCAGGGTCAGGTCTCCCCCACCGGAGATGTACCTCCCCAGACCAGGCCTGGGAGCCACAGTCTGTGCCTTGGTGTCCCAACCCCTCACCGAGCTGGATGTCCTCACTCCTGTAAGGAGCCTGGTCCCCTGTGGCCACAGCAAACTCCACCATGTTCAGGTCCTTCCTGGAGAGGGGGTGTTGGGTGGTTACAGCAGTGGGTGGGCACCGCCTGGTTCCCAGGAGGGCGGGGAGGGCCACTCACCCCTGTGGCTTCCCTGGCTTCTTGTCCGAGTATTCGTAACCTGAGGACAGAGATTCGGATTGAGGGCAGTGTTGCCCCCTCCCCAGCTCCCTCTGCGCCAGGACCCCATCTTGCGCGCCTGCTGCTCTCTGCTCAGGGTCAGGGTTAGTGCAGGGTTTGGGAGTGCTTCCTGGTTCCGAGCGGACCCCTGCCCTGTCCGTGGACCCCCGCCCCTCACGCACCTCGGCGGCGCCGGCGGGCGGCCAGGAGCGCGGTGGTCAGCAGCAAGATGAACAGCAGCAGGACTGCCAGCACGTAGCCCAGGTGCTGGAAGAAGTGGGCGTGGCTCTCGGGCACGATGACGTTGATGACGCTGCGGCCGCGCGCCAGTGTGGGGTCTGCGGGAACGAAGCGAGGGCGCAGTCAGGGGCCCTCCGCAGGGCGCCCCGACCCAGGCTGCTGCTGCTGCGCCGCGTGGGCCCGGGACAAGGGACAAGCGGGTCGGAGCAGCCCCAGCCCGGGGCCCAGTCCCGCAGGTGGGGGCCAGGCTGGCTCCCGCTAAACACGCCTCCCAGGAAAGGTGCATCCGCAGGTCCCAGGGCGGCCTCCAGCACCTGGGCGCGGGGCGCCGCCGTGGCTGGAGCCGTTGCCCGGCGAGTCCCTGGGAGGCGGCTCCGCGGCGGGCTCGGTGACTCGCAGGTGGAAGACGCGGCGCTCGTGCAGGCCGCAGTAGTGGTGGTGCAAGTGGCAGGAGTAGGTGCCCTCGTCTGCTGGCTCCAGCGGGTCGATGCGCAGCGAGAAGTCGCCGCGCGCAAAGGCGTCCGTCTCCACCGCCACGCGGTCGCGCAGGAAAGGTGGCCCGTAGGCGCGGCGCTCGCCCGACGCGTACAGGTCGAGCAGGCGGTCTGCGCGGTCGTGCGGCACCCCCGGCGGCTGCCGGTCCCAGTGCACCACCTGCTGCGCCTCCTCCAGGTGGCGGTCGGTCCACACGTGCGCGCGGTTCACGCAGGTCAGCAGCGCGGGCGCCCCGCGCTCCACCAGTAGCACCTCCTTCTCACCGTCCCAGTACGCGCGGGCGGCCCGAGCTGCGGAGGGGGCGCCGGTCAGCGGCCCGCGGGCCGCGTAGGGCGGGCGGGGGCGGGCCGTGGGGGCGCACACTCACGGCTATCGGTGACCTCGAGGCGGACGGCCAGGCTCTCGTAGAGGTGGCAGTAGTGGTGGTGCAGGTTGCAGGTGTACAGCCCCTCGTCCGTCTCCTCCACCGCTGCGCGCCGGGAGAAAACCGACCGCGCGTGAGCGTCGCGTTCCCACCCGCGCCCCCGGACCCCCGTCCCCGGCTCCGAGCCCCCGTACCGCGGATAAGCAGCGAGAAGTTGCCGTCGTGGAAGGCGGAGGGTGACAGCAGGAGGCGGCCGCGGTCGCGCGGCTCGTACACGCGCTGCTCGCCCGCAGAGTACATGTCCACCAGGCGGCGCGCGGGGCCGCCCGGGCCGCCGCTTAGGTCCCAGTGCACCACGCGCTGGCGGTCGTGCAGCCGGTCCTGGGTCCACACCATGCGCGGGCTCTGGCAGCGCAGCACCGCCGCGGAGCCTGCTGCCCAGCTCACCTTGGACTCGGACACCACGGAGCTGCCCGCGCTTGCGGGCCCCGAGGGCCCTGGTGGGATAGGGCGAGTCAGAGGGGAAGGGGTGGGACCCAGGGGACCTGCCCAGGGTGGGCTTGGCAAGATGGGAGGGCACTGGTGTGGGGGGAGCCCCTGGGGCAGGGTGGTCACTAACCTGTGTACAGAAGAACAGCGGAGCCTGGAAGAGGGGAAGGGAGACGGGCAGCCTCAGCCTCTACACCCCTTTCACCCCCCCCTCCTGGGAACCCCCACTTGGCTCCCCAGGTCCCTCCCGTGGTCCTTGACCATGTGGCTGCTGTGAGGCCCACCTAACAGGTGAGGAGTGAGGCTGAGGCCGAGGACACAGGTGGGGGCCCAGTTAAACAGTCCCCCCTCAGCCCTTGCTGCCACCCTGTCGGGGCTGTGGGGACAGCACCTGCCCTCTGGGAGTGGGGAAGCAGGGGTGAGAGGTGGGCCCAGACTGGACCCCATACGAGAGTGTGTAGGTGTCCCCAGGGCCAATGCTCAGGAATGGTGGCCGTCACTCCATCACTGCCGCAGTCCACCCAAAGCACCCTCATCTGGCACCCCAGGCTGGCTCTGGGGGCTCCACACACTCACCCAGGGGCAGTGGGTGCACCTGTCCTCGGACCACTGGGAGCCCCACCCCACACCCAGGGCTCAGGGCGGGACCCCTGCGGAGCCTCCCCAGGCCAGGGGCTTGAAGCACAGCAAGGCTGGGTGTGGGGAGTGACCCCTGTCCACCACCCCAACGGCCCTTGTTCCTGCTGGATTCTTATGACTCCAGGTTGCCTCAGTGTCCGTTCTGACCATAGTTGGACTTTCTCACACGGACGCAGGGCTGTCACCTGCACAGTTCCCAGTTCTATACCACCACCACCCCCGCCCAGCTCCGCAATTGCGGCCACTCCAGACACCTGCCTTACGCAGCTGCTCCCTGGGGACACCTCCCTCGGGGACAGCCAGCCGCAGCCACACGGCCGGGCGGCCCTGCTGCGATGGCCCCTCCGTCACAGTTGGGCCCCCGGAGCTTGAGCCTGATGCTCCAGACCCACCAGCTAGAGCTCCCTCGGAAGACTGTTGGGCGACACCCCGGACCAAGGCAGGAGTTGGCACCCGGATCCCCCCTCTCTCCACGGCTCCCCCGATGGGCTGTGCACCCCCAGGGCCTGTCCTAAAATCCTTATTGCCGTTCTGCTCTCTCCTAGCCATGGCAGGGCGCTGCCGTCCTGCAGGTCCTACATGGAAAGGCTGCTCCAGAGCTGTGGCTGAGTGCCTGGGAGCTTCCCAGAGGAATGTGCCGGGTCAGCAGGCCAGCCCGGGGCGGGCTCAGGGGGCCCGGGAGGGGGCTGTAACAGACCCTGCAAGCCCCGGAGTTCTCAGGCCCCCTCAACCCCCAAGCCCACTCCCCTCCCTGTGACTGGGAGATGCAGAGACCTGAGTGCCTTCCCCTCCAGCCCCAGTGGGGGTGGGGACCCCAGGAGGCACCCCACTGCTCCAGCCCCCCACCCCCTTCTTGGCCTTTGGGCTCCAGCACCCTGGGAGGGGAGGTCTGGCTGAGGACTCTACACCCTCCTGGGAGAGCAGCTCCCCTCAGTCCCCCCCACAGCCATCTCCCTCCCTGGTGGGGCTGCCCCACGCCCCCTGGCCCACGCTTGACAAGACACAGACTGGCTGAGGCCCCCTGGCCGTCTGCACCCCAGCACTCACTCTGCAGAAGCACAAGTTTCCACAGCAGGATGCGGGACGGCAGCTCCATGGCCCCTGCCCGGCCCCAGCCGCTTTGTCTTACTCCGGCTCTAACTCTCCAGAAAAACAGCCGGACCCCCTCCCCCTCCCGAGCACCCGCTATGACATCACGGAGCCCTGGGCTGTCGACACGCTGTGGACCGCCCCCTCTGGCTCCACAGGGCCCCGGGCCGCCCCAGCTAGGGCTGTCTTGGTGGGAGGGGAGGCCCAGCTCCTCGAGGCAGGTCCTGGGGAGGGGCAAGAGGGCTGAGGGTGTGGACCCCTGATGGCCTGTGGGCCTGTCTGTGACATCTGGGACTCTTCCCGGGTGCTTCAGGGCTGGGGTTCTAGGGAAAGCGGCCTCCTCGCCCCGTCTGGCATTTCCCACGGGAGCCCATCTGCCTGCTCCAGGCCGGCAGAAAGGCAGCTGCTGCCCCTATGGCACCCCCCCCACGCCTCTCCGCAGGCCGGGAGGCTCCTCCAGCTCCAACCCTTGGCTGGGGACACCCTGGCTCACCTTCCCTTCTGGTGCCATCATGGTGGGCTCCTCGGGACAGCGTGACGGGCACTGCTGCTTAGTCACCTTATGACCCAAAGGAGTCCGCCAGGAAGATGGGGGACCCTGACTCGGGGAGCCTGGGGTGAGCGGACCTCCTCCGCCACCAGGGCTACCACAGGGTGTCCTGAAACCAGAACTGGTCCAAGATGCTCCTCAGAGACCCCATCGCCCAAACCAACCACTACTCAGACCCCCACCTACCCAGACCCTGCCTACCCAGAACCCACCTACCCAGACCCTGCCTACCCAGAACACTGCCCAGACCAACTACCAGAACCCTACTACAAACCAGGCGCCACCACCTACCAGAACCCACCTGCCAGACCACTACCAAACCCCCACCGTTCCCGACCCTGCCTACCAGACCCATCTACCCAGACCAGCCAACAGACCCCCACCACCAGACGCACCTACCAGAACCCCAACTGCCAACCCCCACTACAACACCTGCAGACCCCACTGACCCCACCTGCAGAACGCTCAACTCGCCCATCACTCCACCGGACCAGACCCCCACCAGCCTAGACCCAACTACTCAGACCACCTACCCAGACCCCTCACCTGCCCAGACCCCCCCCAACCTACCCAGACCCCACCTGCCCAGACCACCTGCCCAGACCCAGGTCACAGTGCTCCTGGGAGACCCTAACCCAGGAGGAAGCAGGGAGTGGGACCCCCCCCATAAGAAGGCACAAATTTGAAGCTCTGGGAAAACTTACAAAGTCACATAAACAATGTAAAATGACAGAGCACACACTGTGTACCAAACCCACTCCTTCTAGTTAAGCAAACCTCAAAAAAAAAATTCAAACAACCACCAAAAACCTTCGGTGCATAGTTGGGACCGCCCATTTGGACTGAGCCTTTCGTACAGGCCCAGTCCCTGGTGGGTGGGGGTCTCGCCCTGAGCCCTGCCCTGTCCTCAAGTCCTCAGAGAGCTGGGGGCCAGCCCAGGGCAGACTCACGGTCTCCAGACAGGGGAGGGGGCTTCGCTAGGAGGGGACACAGCCCTACCCTGCTGACCCCTGTCCTCAGCAGGGCCCGGGCCGGGCAGCCCCTTTCCAAGCTGGAATCAGGGCTCCAACTTCACCCCTCCCCCCAGCTCCTCCCTGGGCCTTTCATTCTGGAAAAACAAGCCCCACCTGGCCAGCCTCAAGGCCTGGCCTCTGCTGGCCTTGCCTCCTGTTTTTCCAACTGGTTTCTATTAGCGCTGGCGGCCGCCCTCCCGCCAGCCTTGTCTGTCTGTCTCCACCTCTGCCTCTGTCCTCTCTGCTCTCCCTGAGGAGGGAGGGTGTCCGGGCAGGGCTGCAGGGGCAGCCTGGGACAGAGCCGGCTGCTCAGTGCAGGGCGGGCCAGCGGGCAGCTCCCAGCCCTGAGGCGGAAGGGGACTGAGGGACCTGGTCCACACGGGGCTTCAGGCCGGGCACCTGAACCCTTGCAGGGCCTTCCTCTCCAGGCAGTTTCTCTGGCCTCAAGCCACACTTGTGGGACTCCAATGGGACCCTCAGGCCCCAGACCCAGCAAGCCCAGGCCTAAGCCACAGGGCCAGGTGCCGAAGTCTGGACCCAACCTCTGCAAGGGCCACTTGGGGGGCAGCTGACTCCCTTGGGCCCCTGGCTGAGGACGGACAGAGGCCATGGAGGCCGCACCCTCCCTCCCTGCTCATCCTGCTCTGTCCGCCTGAGGCTGGGGGGGCCCAGATGAGCAGCAAAGGGCCTGCTCCCCATCCCCAGCAGGAAAACAGCCACGGGACAAGAACTGAGTGCCGACCAGGCCACCGATCCCTCCCGTGGCCAGGCTGAGCCCCTGCTGCCCTGCCTAGGACTGTGGATTCCCCTCGAGTCTGAGGCCTGCTCACTGTGCTGTGAACATGCGACCTTGTGTCCCAGCCCAGCTGGCATTTTCGTCCTTCCAGAAAGAGGACAGAGCAGGACAAAACAAGGCCACAGACATCACCATGCCTGGGCCAAGCCCCCAACCAGACCAGAGCCCAGGACCCTCCCAGCCTCCTGCTAGGGGTGTAGCTGAGGGGGGAGGGGCGGTGGTGTGGGAGGGGGACAGCGGGGGTGGAGCTGAGCCAGCCCGCTGGGCTTGGAGCCTGAGGGTCGGAAGTTGGGAAGTTGGCTTCGTCTCCTGGTGACTTGGACATTCCAGGCAGCCCGGCTCATAGGGAAGAAAAACCACAGGCACTCAGAGATACGGCCAGCCCCAGCCACACGCCTACACGGCAGGGACACACACACGCACACAGGGACTCAGAGACACACGTATAGAGACAGACACACATGTCACACAGTTACTCATCCATGAAGATGTTCGTGGGTTCATCGTTCAGCAAGCAGTTACTGTACACCTACTGTGTGCCGGGCATGTCCGCGCAGTGGGACTTCAGTGCTACGCCAGCCCTGCGGTCCCCCCCTTGGAATCAGAGCACAGGCCTGGCGCCACAAGTGCTGCTGGAGGACCAGGCGGCCGGGGCCTCCTCCGAAGGGCCTCGCGCAGCACAGACAAGCCAGGGCCCAGCGGGGCGGGAAGCCTGGGCAGACGGGGAGGGAGCTCAGGGCCGCGGAGGAGGTCTGCGTCTGCAGCTGCTGCGGGAAGACGCTGCGATGGCGGATTTACATGCGTGAGATTTACGCGCACACTCCAGGACAGCGGCCCCTGTAAGGCCCAGGTGGTAGCAGAACTCCAGGAGGGGCCCCGAGACGCTGGCAGCTCCCTCCTACCCGAGATCAGGTCCCGCCAGGGTGCCACGGCCGGCCGAAGCGAGCCGCTCCCCCTGGCCTCCAGGGTCGGGCACCAAGAGCACCGCCAAGCCTTGACACGGCCTCCCGGTGGGCGAGCGAGAACCTGGAGGCAGCCCTGGGACAGCCACGGAAGCACTGACCTCAGACCCACGAAGCAGCCACGGAGATCACAGCCCTGACACGCGAGTGCAGCCTGGCAGGCCCTGCGCTGAGAGCCGGTGAGCTGAGACGATGACGGTCGCCTTCGCTGCCGACCGCGAGGAGATTTGTTACGCAGCGGGAGAAAACTGACCAACCGCCTCCCAGAGCAAAAACAAGGCAGAGACGTGAAAAGGCGAAATCGCAAGTTCCGCCGAGAGGAAAAGCGTCTGGCCTGGTTCTCGGCTCAGGTCGGCTGCCGGCGCCGAAGGGCCACCGGGTCTGCTCCGGCTTCCTCATGGCGAGTCGGCCCGTTGTGCCCCCAAGGCCGAGGCCAGACACCAGGCTGCCCCACGGACCTCGGCCCCCACCCTCCCTCCCCACTCTGCCCAGCCCAGGGCGAGGTCCCTGCACACATGTGGGTCCTCCTTCCGAGGTCCCCACGGTTCGTGATGCTGCCGTTCCTCACGGGGAAGGGGCCTGACACGCCCTGGGGCTGTCACCCTCCAGCGAGGAACCACAAGTGAGATGCCCATCGAGTCAGGAACTGAGAGGTCACTGACGCGTTGGGACGTTGAGATTCAAAAATACAGGCAAGAAAACACAGAAACGGTCTTTCACGGACCAGCCAACCCCTTTTGTCTGGAAAACGTAAGGAATTCCAAGGACCAAGACCTTGACCAGCTGGGTCCGGGTCGTGTTCAGGGTCCCTGCGTGTTCAACGATAGTGGCGCTCTCCCCTGTTCCGAGGGCTGCAGGGTCAGCTGACAACCCACAGACGCTGCGTGACCTAGTTAGCTCTCTTCTGGTTCTCCTTTGTGCTTGCTCTCTTTGCTCAGTATCTGATGTCCTGTTGTTCTTATTGGCTCATTGGTTTATAATTTTTTATTTTTATTGATCCTCTGTTGCTTTTAAAGCATTTATCCTATATTGCATTCCTTATTTCCATATGCTTATATTTCTCATATCTATACCTCTATCCTCTTGTCATCCGTAGTGGACTACAGGCATGCACCCACCATGCCCCTGCTAATTTTTCTATATATTTTTACGCGTTCCGTAATTTCTTTTGCGTTTTTAGTAGACAGGATCTTTCTTTCAGGCTGGTCTTCTAAACTCTGAGTCTCAGACAATCGGCTCCCTTTACTCCCAGAGTGCTTGTGTGATCTATGGCATATGGCCAACCGCAACCCGGTTCTCTATTTCTCATCGGTATTGTGTTATATGTATTATATTATTATTATTATTTTGATGATCAGAGTCCTAATCGTGCCGTGTATATGTAGTATTCAGGCATCAGCTAGCTTCACTAGGCATATATCCTCATCACCTGGTTCATTAAGTCTAATCTTCGCCTCAGTTTCCTCCCAATGTGTAGCTGGATTACTGCATCTTTCCTTCTATGGCCGGTCTATTTTTGTAGAATATTTTAGTTGGTCAATTAATTTTTAGTATGGGTAACGTTTCTTTTTGGTCTCGCTCAGGGCCTGTTCGGACCCTGACTAGAGCATCACCCACCCTTGGCCTCCGAGAGTGCAAGAATTACAGGCGTGAGCCACATGCCTAAGCCTTTATTTTTTTGGAACAGAGTCCGCTTATGTTGCCCAGGAAGAGTGAGGGCCCATGACATCGGCCAGTCACAGGGGGCAAACCCAAACTCCTGGGCTCAACCAATCCGTTGCCTCAGCTCCGAGTATCTGGGACTTACAGGGCATGCGCCATGCCCGGTAATTTCGTATATATTAGTTTGGCTAATTTCTTCCTATTATAGTAGAGACGGGTCCGCTCTTGGTCAGGCTAGTTTCAAGACTCATCGGGTTTGAAACCAGGAGCCCCAAACCCCCGACGTGCCACCGGGGCTCGTGTGCAGTGGCGTCTGCCACGCTCCTGGCCGACTGGGAGGGGCCCGTGGGCCAGACAAGCGGCAGAGCAGCTACCACACCGAGGATGCTGCTCCCCTGCGGAGCACATCCTGGTCCCTGCACGGTGTCCTCAGGACATTTCCCACAGGTTGTTATACATTGATCTACTGGCTATTATGGGCAGAACAAACATTAGGCTCGATCCTGGTTTGTGCTGGCCCAGTCCCAAGTTCATCAGTATCACCTTTAACTTGCCTTTCGGCCAGTCACCCTTGTCACAAGGCTGGTACCGCGGCTCTGAAG